TGCAAGAAGCCGTCGAACTAATAAATGATAGTCTTGTGGTAAACAAAGATGCTTCCAGTAGTTATCCTTGCTATGAGAATAGCACGAAGATGAAAATGACTGGAGTATCACATGTAAAATTTAAGTATGAAAAAATAAAATGAAATTGGCCCCTACTTGTGTTCTGAAGGAGTTGCTCATCTATCCCAGATAACACAAACTATAAGTTTGTACCACAACTCCGAATTGTCTTTTTTCGGGTTTAAAGTTTTTGATTGGAAAAGAAAGTTAAATAAATAAATAAAAGCAATTAGGAAGATGCTATAACTGAAAGATATGACATTTGATCCTTATAACAGATATCTGATATCAAACACTCCAGAAGATGGCTTACATGCAAGTTCACTGAATCAGTTCAAAAGAGGGCAGAAAAAACAGTTCATTCCCAGCAATAGATACAGAAACAGATTAGCAGCACATACTTCTGGAGTGAGAAACAAAATGGGACATCTATTAGCAAAATTTCCAACCCAAAGTAAAGTTTTGGGACATCTATAAGTCAAGTACTATATGATTCTTTTGTAAAGTTTTTTTTTCTTTTTCTTTGATCTAGAACAAACACGACTGCATGAGAATTTTCTTCAAACTAACCTTGTCTATTTCTATGTCGGTGAGTTGATTTACACCAACAATGTATACATTCATCAATAGGGCAGCAACAATTGCCTGCAAAAATATGGTGACCGATGAACTTTATTATCAATCGAGTTTGATAATAAAAAATCGACTGACAAAATTGTGCCACACACCTCTAGCACCCTAGTGAAAAACAAAGGAGAGAAATCTGACAGCTTCTCGACTGCAAGTAGAGAAACTGAGATTATACTCAAAGCCTGCTCCATAAAACAGAAAGTGAGCTTTCCACTATCTAAAAAAAGAATTCAACAAACCGAAAGATGTCAGACAAAAATAAAAGGTTCGGAACCTAACCGTTCCTATTATAGTATGAGGTCGTGAAAATCGGTAGAAAGCATCTAATGCGTCCTGTGCTGAACTCCACGGACTCTTCGAGTTATCAGAGTCAAAAGAATGTGCGGATGCTGATATCACTATACTCGTCACATTCCGCCTTGGATTTAGTGTAATACTTCTAGAATGTGGGCTCGCCAAATTCTGCTTTTGCAGTTGTAATCTAATGGGTGCTGCGTAGAGTGGTTCTATGTTGCTGGAAGCTTTGCATTTCAAGACATGTCCTACAACACCAAAACCTATAAACCATTCATTAAATACATTATAAAGAAAAGAATATATAGAATTTCATAATAAAGGGACATGTTACCTAATAATTTAACAAAGTGCTCCAACCCCATACTTCTTCCCAAACAACAATTTTTACTTCCACAACAGAGTTCATCTTATACCAGAAAATGAAATACAAAACATAATTTACACCTTGAACAATAAATTTTGTTCGTAGGTAGTTTTTGCGACAATTTAAAATGGATCGAGTCTGCGGCTGCGGGTCGACCCATCATGTGATATTCATTTCGTGTAGGAAATTGCCACTCATGAATTCCAAAACACAAATAAATAAAAAAATAATGTAACAGAAGAGAACTGTAGGCTGGGAAAAGGCAATGTGAGACTTTCACATCAGCAGATATAATATAGAAACCATTGAACATGAATGATAACATAATTAAAACCCAATGTACGAGGAAAAAGAAAAACAAACATATACATATAAATCTACAACAAAGCCAGCGATAGACGATATAAGAAATATGCGGTGAGTTAACAGGCTTCCGCCGCCACCGCCGCACCACCAACAATCGGAAAAATTAAGGGGAAAAAAATGGAAGTTTAAACTGTAAACGGGACGAGCACACATACCTGAAGGATACGAGCACAGACCAGCACCAAAGGGAAATGAGAGTCGCGGTGAAGGTTTCTGAAAGGACCCAATTACACAAGACTCCATTTTTATGTCGATTGTGTCTAAATGAATATGTAATCTGTCTCTAAAAGGAGAGATATGAAAGAGAGAGAAGCTGCATGTGGAACACCTGGGAGCGACTCAAACTACGAAATTGAACGTGAATTTTAACGCCCATAAAGCCATAGAGATGCTCCAGAGATGGAGTGAAGGTACTACTTCTCGCAGCGGGAGGTACAAGCTCTGGTACAATTTGGCGACCGGGGAACACTAGCACTGTTCTCGATTTGGAGAGAGAGAGAGCGGCCGATGAGATATTTATTTATTTATAGAAATGTGGCAATGCACTTTTTTTTTTTTTTACCACAATAATATAAAGAGTGTCATATGAGTGTCATGTGCACCACTATGTACAATATTATGTACATATAGCATTTTTCTAATATAAATAATTGTACTTTTTCTTTACCACAACAATAATAATAATAAATAACAATAATAATAATAATAATAATAATAATAATAACTTTTATTAAGAAAATAATAATAATTTAAGAACCTTTTTTATGGAGTTTATTACTTTGTCAGCCTTACTCCTCACTTTTTTTTTTCCCTTCAATTGTGCAATTCAATCTTACAATCCAATTTATCTTTCTCTTCAACTCAACTCAACCTAAATATTCATTTTATTTCAATTTATTTAAAAATTACAATTTTATTTCAAAACATATCAAGTGTGGTCTCTATTTGTACATTAAGATCAATTCGGACAGCGCCGCCATTTGTGCCACCAGTAAGTCGTGAAAAAACAAAAATATTAGTATTTTTATTTTTTTATACATAAAAATACAATTGTCCAATAAAAATAGGATTAATGCCCCATTCTAACACGGAATGCATGTCGCGACCTAGGGTCACAACTCACAATGTAACGTGAGTAGCTCAATTGATGAACTTTTTTTTTTTTTTTTTTTTCCGTGACCCACTCATTGCTCACATAAGCCTAATAACAATTGTGTTTAGTGTAAATGACAAACTTGTACCCTTTTTTTTTAACCAATGATAGGAAATACTCATAAATAAAGAACTGTTCAAGTACAAACCGATACTACCAACTGGTAGAAAGAAACTGGGAGAACCACTACACTTAGTGGCCTACATAACAAGCAAACCCGAGATACCAAGCCGGCATAACAGCCTGAACCAAGGCACTACAAGAACACCCTAACAGCTATCAAAGCAAACCAACAGACAACTCAATCTAAGCAAAGGGCACAAACCCATGACAGGAAGACCAACAAACAGAGTAAAACAATAAAAACCAAAAGAAACCAGCAAAGGGAAGAAAACAGCTCAACAACAACTTCAAAGTGCAGGCCCAACACATACTTCACTAAGCAACAACATTACAGAACTCTCTCCATTCCATAACAGCTCTTTTGACAATCACTGTTTCAGGAAGTCTTTCAAAGTTGAATACCCAAAGGTTTCGAGATCGCCACAGCCACCACAAGATATATGTTGATAACTGGATTCTAGCTTCAGAAATGTCTGACTTGTCTAAGCTACAAATCTGCCACCAGGGGCGGATGTAGTGAAGGACCACTGTGGGCCTAGGCCCACACTGGAAAAAAAAAAAACCCTATATCTATATTAGCCCAAATATATTAGCACATATTGATTATACTTCTACAAGAATATTACTAAGCTATGAGCCCATATTGATTATGCTTCTACAAGAATATATTAGCTCAAATATACCCAATATAACATAGATTTAATAAAAAAAAATAAACCATTGCTTAGTTGCTTTCTTATTTAAATAAAAAAAAATATAGAATTAAGTTAGGGGTTTTCACGCAGAAAGAAGAAAGAAAAAAGAGACAGAGTGGCTTTCATGCAGAAAGTAGAAAGAAAAAAGAGAAGGGGGGAAAAGAAGAGAGGAGAAAAAGAGAAAAGAGTAAAAAAGTTTATCAATTCCAATTGTTCGAGAAGACGATTTTCAAGGTAACACCGTTTATGTTTATTTTTGTATTGGTAAAAATTGTTCTTCTTTATTTGTTAGGTACTAGTAAATTTATTATTTTTAAGAAGAAATTTCAAATTCAATTCCTAATGTGTTTATAGTTTTTTAAAGTGTGATATGTCAAAGTAGAGAATTTCAATTGATTGTGCATTTATTTTTTAAAGTGTCACCCTTCGATAATTCTCAATATTCAAGAACGATAATTAAAAATCCCTTTTAAAAGTTCAACTCGTATGAAACGAACAATCAACAAGCTCCCACAATCACAATCAAAATCAAAACCTCAATCCCCTATTCCCTAGCGAAGGGATTAGCTACTCATAATCGAATAATTCACACGAACATCCATAATCAAAGCGATCTCATCCATGGATTAAATGCAACGAAAAGAACTTACGATTAATGGAATTTAATGATGAATTTGATAGACAAGCTTCAATCCAAAAGCAAAGTGAAAGATGAATGAAAAGAGTCGAGGAAGGGTTTCATGAATTTTCTGCGTGAAGGAATGAATAATCTCGATCTCACGGGCTTATATTTATACCAACAGGCTTCATGGCATGAGAGAACGGCAGCACGCCGTGGCGGGTTGATACGGAAGTGGAGGTTAGCACCAGCGAGTCTAGTCAGGGGCTGAAGGGCAAAAGGTGTGCATCGGCACTTGATGCACACGAGTGGGCGAACG